GGGCATAATACTAGACTACCCACCTGATATTTCATTCCGCTTCAATTCATCAGAAATCTGAGGTACGAAGTCTTTGGCGTAAACCAATTCCGCTTCTGGGATCCACGTTCGACATCCGTTCAGAATCGTAGTGCCGATTTGAATTCCCATGTGGCCAACACAATGGTTTCCAGTGACCCGCTGAGCCAGCGCTCTCTTCCTCCCATGTAGTCTAATACCTCGCAAGGAAATAGGCTTGGTTGGTGTTGGCGAGATCCTACCCGAAGCGCAAACCGCGTACCATCCGCATGTGATAGTGCGCCACTTGTCACTACGCCGCCTCTGTCCCCAGGTATAATGTCGTTTCACGAATTTCTATTTATTTATTTATTCACTTATTTATTGTATATGATTTGTATCCCACCGTGGGTAGTGATTTTGTATCAAAGCAGATAAGCGAGACCGCAAACCATCCCATGAGTCTGTACAGTCCGAGGGGTACTGTAATTGTCTTCGTTCTCGTCGGTGACTGCGTGCTTTTTGTCATCTCTACTTCTGTCCATCATATCGGAAAGGATGAATGATAGAGCACATCATATGTTGAAGGTTCATAAGAACATGGGCGATAAAGACAAGAGGAAGCACTTTAGAGGATCAAACATTGCTATCGTCTAGAAAGTATTCGTGCGATTTCTTTTCTGACAGCAGCGATACAAACTATATAAAAAAGGGACAGGAATATAAAGTGATTTACACAGACCGAATCGGTCCCACTGCGTTCGATTTCACTCATGTTCTTCCAAGCGGCCAAGCACGAAGGTCGTCCTCTTTCTAATGTCAGAAATATGTACGATTCTCTTTCATCGACATGGGCGATGATTTCGAAGAATTCCAAGAAGCTAAGTATAAAATAGAAAATGAGGTTGGGAGATTTCAAAAATGGGTGAAGAATGCCCAAATTTGTATTTTTTCATTTGACTTTCTCAAAGCTTTTCTCAGCAGCAGCATAGCCACTAATTTACAGGAGGTCCTTCAGAAACTAGGTCATCGTAAACAAAAACTCGTTTTCATGACGCTGACCTACTCCACATAGGCTTCGGAAACAGAAATAAGTTTCAACCGAACGTAGGGCAGTGTTCCTGTTATTGGTGCAATATGCACTTCTACCTTGAGACAAATCTTCTCTTCTCTTTGTGTGCTTTCAGACTCTCATGATCCCTTCATTTAGTGCCTACCAGGATCTTTTTTCTTTTCAGACAAAATGCGAGTTTTCGTCATTTTGTTACTTCTTATCGGCGCTGTAGCTGTTTCAGCTAAAATGGGTAAGTCGTTATGTTCTGGTCCCAAAAAAATTTCATACTCAATATTCAGATGTTTCCCAGTAGCTATGGAAGAGGGAAGCTTTAACGGTTTTATCACAAGATCAATCAGCAATGAACAGAAACTTTAGCTTTTGGCACCACTCCAAACAGCTCTAAACTTGACCGTGTTTAAAACAGAACAGAGTAAAAAACAAGACAGGGCCCTGATACTCCAAAAGACGGGCTGACCGCTGCCCGTGAAAGTAAACTCATCATCTTGAGGCTAACGGCTACGGAGAAGAGGTCCAGTGTCGAGGAAAGACACCTGACCTATAGGCAAAAAAACTGATCGAAGTGGAGAAAGTGGAAGGAAGTCAGAGAAAGAAGGATAGAGATGAAGGGGAGGAGAAAAAGGAAGCCGTAAAAGAAAGAGGCGAAGGCTAAGGAGGAGGAATCCAGAAAAGGAAAGGAGAACCAAAATCTACTTCTCGTGGACCGCTGGATCCGGCCATGCTTCTGAGTAACCTCCTGCCGGCAAAGGAGGTATATCAGGAAAATGCCCCTGTGGGCACAACAAAAAAAGAAGGGGCAGCGGTCACTAACTTACTATGATCGAGAGTCGATCGACAATATCAAAATTAAAAAAAGGCAAGGCAAGGAAAAAAACGACTCTACAGAATCGAATCTTACGGTACCGCATCGTATAAAAAATGGACTTACCGAAGCCCAGCTGGTGGAGGGTGTCGCTGCTACCATTTATGTCCCCGGCCTATATGCCTCCAAGATATAATGCTCAGAACTACAGGAATACAACAATACTTTATTGGAGCAGGTATCAGACACAATATAGCACGGTACAGTACGGTAGTCCGGTGGGGAGGCGTCGCAGGCCCGAGGCTGCTGGGCTCCGTTCGTCCTTGAATGACCTCTCCTGGCTCCTCCTCGTCGTCGGACCGATGTTGTTCCTTCGCCGCCTGGTTTCTCCATCATTCCCTGAAAGCTTCTAAGTTAGCTGCGAATCGTCAGATGACTCACCCCTTGCCTTCCTTGACCGTTTACCGGGAAGTACTGTAGAAATACTGATTCTTACAGTACCCTGTAAACGCAACTGAAGCAGAGCTGTGCTGTATCAGTAAAAAAGCGACGCCCACAATGAATGACATAAGCAGTAGTGAACTCAGGTGTTTGGGAGGGAGGTGTTTGTCGCTCCCTCCCAAACACCTGAGTTCACTACTGTTATTATTGGCTTGGGTAATATCCAAAGCCCCAGGGCAAATGAATCGTTAGCGACAAAGAGACCACCGACACGCGTGACAGACTGCTCTTAACATTAGACTTACTTTTGGATGTGTGTTATGAACTGGTGAAGTAAATATGTTCTGTAGAGAAGAGCGGAGGTGGTGTAGCGGCAAAAGGCGCACTAACTCACACGCATGGTCACGGATCCGAATCATGGCTCGATATCCGACTAAACCAACGGGCCTCCCATCCTTTCGGGATGGGTAAATGGTGCCACGCTTATCTGGGAGGATAAAAGTGCTGAATGTGCATCGGCTGGCCACCGGAAGTCATCGTACGGGACAAATACGCACTCAAGCTGCCACTACGGTTCTGAATGGAATAGGCGCTCATTTCCAAACGGGAATGATCAACGCCCAGGAGCGTTTCACCCCTTTCACGGTGGTGCAGCACAGGAAGTGCATCAGTGAAACTATCAATGGGTACCTTCTCAAAACGTGATCATTCAGTGATAACTCAATGAGGTATCGAGTTCATCGATTGTTTTCGTCAGGCAAATGAAATCTGCTCTGTAAATTCCTCCGCCACGTTCGTGTTCATCTAATCCTTTAATGGACCGGATTGTGCTCATGGGCACCTCTGTTTTTGTTATCAATAGATTACTTCCAAATGGTAACACTCCTAGTCATGCCTTGGAGGACATTCATATTTCAGTTGATTTCAGGTCGTCCACCACCACCGCGTCATCCACCTCCTCCGCCTCCACCACCTCCGCGTTCGCCATTCTCTTACGGTTGGTACGGAAACTTGGGTCGTGGTCTATTTGGAGGTGAGTCATTCTGAATTCTCAAATGTACTCGACGGAATTTATCGAAATTTTTGAACATATTTGCTTCCAGGGTTTAAAGGGTAGAAGTGGATATCGTCGGCAGAGCGACGGATCACTTTCGAAAGCGATTGTGGCATTGCTTTGAGTAGTAGTTGAACCATTGTTTAGATTATGCTGTGTAAGAAAATGTTTGATGCACAATTGGTAGCAATTGAATTTCATGTTCGTTGTTCACGAAGATGTCTAATCACGAAGTTCCAACCCAGAACGGTACGAAATAGCCTTTTCATAATTATTGGGTGGCGAAAATGCAGTTGGGAGGCAACGTCCCACCCTTCCCTTCCGCCACATGGCACTGAGGTGCAGAGAAGTAGGGTAGTAGGCTCTAAGAACTGCTTGAAGATATTTTTTAACTTAAGGCATATAACTTTTCAACGGGGCCTACAGGAAGAGGAGCACCGGTGTGGAAGAGATTTGGGGAAAATTGAACCTTCTGTTGACCACTGATTCATTTGTTTCAAAAGTGAAAGCGCTGGCGTACTAATCTCGTTCAGAGAGCATATTCCCACAGAATTGCCTATATCTCAGTTTCTGCGCTTCCTCCAACTATATTTTCAACCACTGAACAATGCCAAAAATATTACAGCTGATCTTTGATGGATCTTATGCTTTTGTACCGGCTACCCAGATTCGAACTCGATAGTTTTGGACCCTAGTGGATCAGCACGTGGCAGCTTTGGGGTTATCCAAGTTAGACTGATCCATGACCGCATTTACAGTCGATATCGGTTGAAAGGTTCATTCGTACAAAACACACACACGTATAGATGTTTACGGTAGCAAAGGATCATATGAGCTCGACAAAATATTTGCCTGTTTTTATCCAGTATGATAACAGGATATCTAAACGGAATCTCTGATACAATTACCGCTACCCTAACTCAACACATAAACGGCTCCACATTTTGCAGCGTGATTTCTCGATGAGATGGAGCTGTTTCACCTATAGACCGGAACATGCCTTTTGACTGATGTTCTCTTCCCATCGGACCGGACGAAAACCACAGATTCATCAGCTCTATCGGATAACTCCGCTTATCTTCAGCTCAAATCAGCCATTATCAGCTTTCTTGCAGTCGATGATCAGTTGTGCCAACCGATAACCACTTCCATATTTATTATGAGGTTGATATTCTACGGCCGTAGGGTCATTTGCTGAGTATGTTAGTGAGTTCCGAATGGTGCAGTGCCGTCATAAGTGCTTATTCAATGGATCCACTCAGACCAACTCGAAAAATGCACATGTACTACACTATTAAAAGCATATTCACAACTTAGTATTGAAATATTTAAAGAAATTTCGATTATATTGTGTTTGGACAAGGAGAGGAGAGCTTGAAATTGATCAATACCGTCTAAGTGATGCACCATGAATTTGCTTCATGGTGACTTTCATAGATGCGTATGTGTTCTATGCAGTGACGCAATAGTTAGCCGATAAACAAGGCAGCGCTTTTATCTCCCAGAGGGGTCTGGTAGAAACCGACAAACCTGTCATTGATGTAAAACCTTTTCGTCCTGAGTGGATATCGATTCAGGAAATGGTCCCTGGATCACGTCGTGTAATTATGCCCGAAATAGTACTACACCAACTTCTCAAAATCTTCCATAATCCTATTAGCAATTGATGCTCAACATAGAACAACCGTATCTTTAAACAGGAAAGACTTCAAGGAATTTCTATTATTATAACGTTGATTCTTAAGGGACGTCATTTATTTGAACAAAAGTTCTCACCGTTACTATTTACAGCAATCATTTGGCCGGTGCATTTACCATTCTGTAATCTACCGGCTACCAGGCGTACAGGTCACATTAATCACCGGCGGCGTGATAATTGAAAGAATCTAAATCACATACGAACCCAGTACTCCTTACTATTTTCGGAATACTGCCGATTACGGTACGATTCTATAAATCCAACTTCAAGAAACGGTGTTTTCTAGGTTTTTGCTACGGAGTTTCGAATGCCGCAGGATATCACTCGCTTTCTTCAAGCATCCTAATGAAGACCCTTTCTCATTAGATGACGATAGGTGAGACATCCAGTTCCTGAGGATGAGGTATGTGTTGTGGTGAATCATCCCAAAGTGACCAGCAGAATGGGATAGGCCTCCATACAGGCTTCTAGGGCTAGTCAAAGTGTAAGAACTATTTTAAACTCCCTGACTTTAAACTTTTTCTAAAACTCATCAGAAAAAAGGTATGACTAAATTTTGTCTTCCATGTGTGGGGACTACAGGAACCTATCACATCATTTTCGAAAAGAAAAAAGAGAAAAGGAACAGGCAGGTACTGTAAGCGTCGAGGGTAAAAAAGTTGAGAACAATGAGAGCACAATGATGGGAGATACTCACTTGCTGAACACTTTGCTGTGTCCATTAAGAGCAGAAAATCCCTTTCCCTCTCTGGCGAACACAATTCGCTGATAGACGATGAATATCTGCAGCTTCTGATGTTTCAGATGTTATCATCGTTGATGATTTTGTTCCCAGGTATTCTAAACCGGTCTAGGTATAAATGAGTAACCTAGACCGTCGCCGAGGTTTTTCTCTGTCAAATACGAAGTCCCATCTTATTTGTTCTTGTTTTACTCAGTTGCTAACCTCTAGAGCCTTAGTTTTCAGTTAGAAACACCACACTTCGAGGATCATTAAGCTGGTGACTAACCATTATGATCGAGGTATTGGGATCTTTTGAGGGATGTCAACTCAGAGTACACCTCGATCGGTAGGCTGCTTCTGTTTTTGTGGCAGCACTACCCGTTCGACATCCTTTTTTCAAGCCGCCCGTAGAAGTTTCGAAAGCCTTTGTTTCTAATCTGTTCCGTTTTGAATATGCGCCGAATTCTACTTCCATGCAAAATCGCTGAGGCGGTTTGGCACGTAGCCCATACAAGAAGATGTGGTAGTCAGCTGTTGCGCAATTCAGCGCTTTTATACTGCCAAATAAGACTGATACCAATTCAGCGACTATGCAAAGAAAGGCTTTAATTTCTTGGAGGGTATCAGTCCTATCCACCATGGGTCTGACAGTTGTTGCCTCTTGCCACTACACGACTCCGGTCCACAATCAGAACAGATGATAGCCTACAGCGGAAGCGTAAGCGAGCGTGGAAGAGGAAGTTGAACGACTTAGGGACTTCTCTCTAAAGAAGGCCTATTGCTTTCAAAAACTCACAAAATGTGTGGTGACCGTATGGAGGGAGCAGAATGAAATAATGAAGACATTAGCAAGGGATATAGTCGCATTCCCTATCCTGTCTCTTCTACTCAAAATCTAATTCTGTGCTTCTGAAGACCGAAATTCAAGGGGAACGAAAAGCACACCACCTTGGCTGCTGCTGCTTCTTGTACTGAGGAGTGGAACTTGGCCATTTCCCTTTAATTGAGTGTATCGTTACTATTTTCGCCTCGGCTGGCTTCCGATAGTACCTTTTAATTGGCCAACAATGCTCACATACCCATCCAGAATTCGCATTACAAGTGTTATCCTGACTGCTAAACGTTGGAAAAGCCGTGGGCAATGATCAGTGTCTAAAGGCTATAAGATTACTTTTATTGTAAAGATTGCTTGATTTTTTCTTTTTTCTTCATCTGTTTTTGGAACAATAAAAAACGATAACATGTAAAGAGGGTTCAGGACCGCATATCCGTTCGAGGCCCCCGAATTTGGTGGTCCCTGAACATGTTCTGTGACTGGTTTCCGTATTTGTAAGTGACCTGAAATCGAGAATAGTCGATAAAGTCTAAAAATTCGTCTTTTGGTTTCGAGTTAAGACCGTAACCTCAAAATAGGGAATGTTAAGGTCTTCGCTCTTTTTCCTAGGTTGTTTTCTCAGATGGGCGAGATACGGCTAACGACTGAATAGTTTAATCTTCATTCAAATCTTCAATGAGACGTATTTTTGACCCTCATGGATACTAAATGGGGCATTGTCGGGTCGAAAGGTTCGTGGAACCAGCTGTAGTCGTAATAGCACAAGATTTTTGCAGCCGCTCAATGTAAAATCGAGCAAACTTGTAAAAATTTAATAGTAAAGTGAGCCCTTATTGACTTACCCAAAAAAATGGCTGTGGGGAGGCGGCTCCACGGTGTTGACATCGTTCACGACCTGCTGCTTCTTAAAACTGTGAATGTTTCATGTGTTGAAAAAGGGCAGCAGTCGACGCCTGTGCTAGCTGACTCAACTGCAAGAGCAGCTTTCAACTCTTGCGCTTCGCCGCTGCGTCCCTTTTATGAGATATCGCTCAAGAGTACACGTTAAGTTTCAGTAATTCGCGCACTCCTCCTAGAACTCCTGTAGCTTTTAAGATCATACTCGATCAGTTGCGCGAATTCAGTCAATATTCACTAGATTCTTTTGGGCTCTTCATTGGTATACATACCCTACTCTTCTATTCTCGACTACAGCCATGTCACCGAGCTTTCAGACGTTTAACTCACTTTGTTCTTTGGAGTGATTTATGTTGTAAACGTATTGTTGTGAGTTCTGCTCGACCGTCACAGTGCACGTTATAGGACAGTATCTTCAGTCAGTCCGCGCCCGTCACGTCCTCCTTGCAATCTTGGCACTTCATCCAGTGCTTGAATCATGATCTCTACTCTTTGGATTACTGCATCGTTCTTTGGGTCATGATACAACCTCGGACGATCGTGGCTGAGCTTTCTTTTTGCTTCCACGCCAGCCTAGAAATTCAATTAACGAAATAAAAGCTCTAGTCAGTTATTGAAACGCCTTCAAACCGAATGTGTCCTAATAATTGTGACTGTAATGATCAAGTTTCCATCTTTTTTCAGAGCACGAATGAAAATATTTATCGTTTGGTTACTTCTTGTCAGCATTCCACCTGTTTTCGCGCAATGGGGAATGGGCATGATGGGTGAGTCAAATCTCTTCTGACTTCTGTATTTTGTAAAACGAGTGATTTCCTCTGAACCACGCGAGGAAACCCGCGGAACATGGGCTTTGTTCTAAACCGTGTTGACTCCATGAACTAAGGACATATAGTGATCCTTCGTCAGCAATGATTTCATACTGTGTACATATTTTGACTTAATATTCTCGAATGCAGGTTTTCAAAATTTTTCTCATTACCATTGAACTGAGTTTAGGTCCATATGGAATGGGAGGCATGGATGGTTTCGGGATGATGGGTGGATTCGGTCCAATGGGTGGCTTCGGCCCGATGGGTGGATTTGGTCCGATGGGTGGTTTTGGTGGCGGTACGTGCTGTCTTTACATCCTCATAGCAGTTTCTTCGAGTTGAGAGATCAATGGCACTTTTCAGGTTGGTGGAGGAAATGAGCTTGTGTGTCGTCGCTCCGCCTTCGAAATGCCTTTTTTGCGTAGATGCTGTGTTCTACACGAAAGAAAGTTAGTCCAATGCAGAGAAAATTTTTCAAGAACGTCACGCCGTTGTTTTCACTGATATTTCCTCTTGATCCACATCATTTAAATGAAGATTCAATATCTACTGACGTGTCGCAAAAGAAGATTAAGGTTCGATTTTTGAAAGTCGTTTTTTTTCAAATAATCACAGACGCAGCAACTAGCAGATCAGAAGAGTTGGAGATATACCATTATACCGGCCCTAGACTTGAAAATCTTCAACGTATGGCTGATGCACCTATTTTTCCACTGTGTTTGATCCTTCCGTATTTCGTTGGCATGGATGTTGATATTTCGCCATCACGTGTGCGTGAAGAGCACGTAATACTCTTTCATCACACTAGCTATCACTCGCCCTTACTGCATTTTACGATCACAATTACAGAGGATGAAGTCAGAAAGACATTCGACGACTTCTTTGAGTCTCAGCTCCGTCCATCTGGGAGGATGAAATTGACAAGCTGCCTGAACAGTGGCGTCGAGCAGTGGATGGTGATGGTGCATACCTCTAATCTTTGGGCTGCTTCGCTACTGAGCTCTTTACAAAAAAGTCAGGAAAGAAATTATGCATCAACCTACTAATTGCAAGGGGGTGGGGCATCCTTTTCCTCCTATACTGAGCGGTAGAGAATAGAGAAGGACGAATAGCTGCTCTTCGTGCACGGAATAATGTGAACGGGGGTATTAGTATGCTAGAACGCTACCGCTTACACTTTTGAATGAAATGAATTAGTGACCAACTGAATGCTCAATTTTTCTCTATTCACGCTTTTTGCACGAGGTAAATAGCCTCTACCCTCTAAAAAAACCCTCTTCGTTATTCCTTCACTCTTCAGCTGCAGGTGAAGACATGGATATCAGAACTTTAGCGAGTTATGTGAAGTGAGCGCTTTGCAATCGTCATTATGGTGTACCACATAGGAAATGTCCCTTGTTGGGACTATAAGTTGGCTCGTGGCGTTTTTTTTTTGATTTCTGAATTCAATTTTGCGTCAACCTGTACTCTACGTTCCCTTCAAGTGGCAGTGTAATTCGAACCTGAGGTGCAAATTCTGCTGCTGTACGTCGCTGCAATGTTTCGTCATTCGTTTGTTTATTTTGGTTTGTTTCCTACTTCCAGACAGGTCTTGTAGCAATCATGCGACCCAACGAGAAGGAGGACTTGGTTTATCTGGGTAAGTATCGATTCGAAGTTTGATTCCCGGTCCATGCGTGAGACAGTGTGTCACCTGCCATTACATCGCCGCCCTTCCTTTGTTAGGGTAAGCAAAGTGCAGATGTTGGTCAGGAGAGTTTAGTGTCTGCCCGGTAATCGGAATGGTGAACTGAAATCGACAAGCTATCTTTCTCAATAATCACGAAGTTCCCCTTCGCTACGATACAAAGAAGAAGTTGACTTGACACAGTGAAAACGAAGCGGACAGGTTTTTAGTGAATAGT